ATAGAAAGGACCAGCTTACGTGAAGAACATTCAGCGAAACCTATTTTCGCAGTCGATTTACATTACATTATAAAAAAAAAAATAATGTTTTTACTCATACTACCCTCCCGAAAGTCTTACACCATTCGGCACATTTTAGTTCCTCCATTGAAGATTTGGAACATAAATGTTTGGCGTTGTCTGTTTAGGAAGACTAAGACGGAATAGAAGTTTGACCTTGATGTTGACTTGGCAGTCAAAACCACAGTTAGGGAGGTTTTAGACTCGTCAGAAACAAAATACTTCCGTGAAAAATATCACAGTTTTTAGGGGGTCTCTCTTTAGGTGGTATTTTCTTTTCGTGTCAGAAGAGGTTACAGGGCTGGTTGTTGTCATCGAAGTTGTTTGGTACTACGTTGTGTTTCAAGTTTTCTGTAGACCCTTGTCGTGAGACTGAGGGTTGGAGGTGTCTCGGTACCGAGAGAGGTCGGATGTGAGTCTGGGTCTCAATCTACACCGTTCCAGCACGACGAGAGACCCCGCGGACACCCTTCTGAAAGACCCTTTTGCAACCCTCTAAAGGTCGAAGTCATCTCTACTACGCCGTCATGCAAATGGCGTCAAGGAGTGTTTAGTTTGAAATTACATGACACAATATCATGTAATTTCACACTAATCAATTTGCACTTTAATAGGACTTTTTACGGTGACCATCGTTCAGACCACAGTAACACACCAGAAGGACCCAAGACATCACCGAGTCACAGACAGAAAATAAATAAAAGAAGTAGGGTTGGGGTGTAGGGGAGTCCTTCTCGGGATAAGAACGGCGGACGGTCGTAGTAACTTTATTTCTTAACAAGAATTTACTACAAAGGACCGATTTTATTCCAAGATGATAGAAGGACTCAAACGATTTAGTTTAGGTAATTCCTCGCTCAGTTTGGTGTTAGATAATCTCGAACCCACACTCTAAAACATGTGACTAAATTTTTATTGATCTAGTCCCCAGTGGTTTGGAAAAAATCCTACTCTCATGAAATTTTTTTTATTTTGTTCAGCCCCCGATGGCAAAATGAGGAGTAAAAAACAAAAAACGTCACATATAGTAAATCGTGAAAATTGTAATAATATACGAATGGAAATTGGGAAACACACGACAAACACAGACACCTGGGCAAAAGTCACAAATGATAATAAAATTGGGACGAAGATACAACCCCACACCTGGAGTACAGGATGCATCCCCAGGAGTGGAGGGAATCCCCCCAGGCCCCCGTACGAGGGGCCCTTCTACAAAAAAATTTACAACTTCAATTTACGTAGTAGCCCTCGTGAACTCGAGTTGGTCACTTCGTATCGAGAGCTGTGAGATCCTCCACTTTGGGCCTCGACATTGTACTCGGATGGTACACATTTTATTATATACAACCGGTGGTTGGGGTTTTGGTGGTGGTTTTTTTTTGTTTTTTACCTTCGTTGTATACTGCTGTTGTTACTTAACTACGCTATGTCGAGAGTTGTGAGGTCCGTACTTTTCGTTTGTCTGTCATATGTAAGTTATTTAGGTTTGTAAACTTATAACTAGGTCGGTTTATTGTGTAGTAAATTTTGAACAAATAAGACTATAATACAATAGGAATCAATCGTAAGAAAGAAAAATAAAATACGTATAAACTGATCCGTGAGGGAAAATTTGACAAATGAAAATGACAGGATATCATGTGTAACCTTACTAAAGAATGAATAGATATAATTTATCTATTTCCACACGAGAGGGATCGAGCGAGCCGAGAGAGAGAGAGGGGGAGGGGTAGAGAGAGAGGGAGAGAGAGAGGGAGGGATGGATGGAGATGCGAACGAGAGACAGAGCAGCGAGGGAGGGATGGAGAGATGGGCGGAGAGAGAGAGGGTACAGAGAGAGGGAGGGAGGGATGAAGATAGCGAGCGAGAGAGAGGAGAGAGAGAGGGAGGGAGGGAGGGATGGAGATAGCGAACGAGGAGAGGATAGAGAGAGCGAGCGAGCGAGTGCTCTCCGACACACGAGGAGGCACCGACTACTGCCGAACGCAATTTTTTATTAATTATTTGTATAACACTTCATTCCTGTGTTTGCCCTAAAGCTTTTCTCGCTCCCCTGTACAGGGGGGACAGGGTCCACCTTTAATGTGGTACGTCACGCACACACACGCAGTTCACGTTATTTATATATACCGTTTCAACGTTGTGTGTCTCATTTTGAGACGTGGAATGTACACACCATATCCGACCGTACTACCACAAGTTACCGACACACGCACATCTAAAGAGGTCTTCCTTTTAGTCGTCCCCTCCCACGTGTAACGAAAAGAAGGGCTGACGTTGCGACCAGGGCGTTTAGTTCGATTCTGGCGCTAAACCAGCTATAAATAACACCCAAACAGAATCATATAAGTACATCAGGTTTCATAGAGCCAAACATTTCAAGTGCTACTCAACTGGCTTTAGATAAGCCAGTCCTTTATTATTATATAAGTGCTTTGTTAGCAGTTCTTTGTTAGTAATTCTATCGCTCGATAGAATATCCCATTATATTTTTGTTTTGAGGGACTTTGTTCTCCATTTTCTATGTCTTTATATATATTTAGACCCCCAAACACAGCTATCAGCACTGCACTCTGGAATTATTTGGGTGGGATCAATGGGGCTTGGCACATGACTGTTTGAAAGCTGAGTTTTGGTACGTATAACCAAGTAAAATAACATTTGCAAGTTGTGCAAATGTATAAGAAACTTTTCTTATTAAAGTACAAGAGAGAACATTTAAGCAAATATGAATCTTTATGGCCACATAAAAAAAATCCATATAAGCCAAACATTCAACTAATTTGGTGCATTTGGTGCAATTTCATAACTTGACAGCATTTGGTTAGAAAAAGCAGACGTTGAATGACTGGCTCTAGGTGTCTTTACTGCTGATTCGCTCCACGAGCAGTCACTCCTCTCTGTTGCTCATACACAAACTTGTTACTTGGGATGTGAATCTTTCGGTACTTCCCGATTTGATTCTAGTGTCAGAGGACAATTCCAAAATGTATTTTTAAACAATTCCTGATTGGAAATCAATTTGCAAATCATTACATAGAGATGCTAATTTCAGGATCTACTCCAGTGTGCTAATAATTGATCGAGCTAATGATTGATTGTCGGTGAGTGAATGAAACGAAATGCTCCAGACTGCAACATATTTCAGTCATTTTATTTTATTTTACGAGACTTTCAGCTGTTTTTGTCAAGTTAAATGTTGGGATACAGGTTTTATATATTTTCTTAGTCACCTTTGATTAAATTGTGTTTTGTAAAATAAAGTTCTCAGATTTGGGATTGTATTTTCAACACAACTGATTAACTGTTAGCATAACCCTATAACAGGGACATTACGCTTAGTCAAACAAATCTAGGGATGAACTAGATTGAAAATATATTAACAGTACTATATTAACTACAGTAGTACACAGTTTAAATAGAAACAGTCAGGAGCAACAGCACAACTTATTTTATCCATATAAAAAAATTGATATAAGCCTAATGTGCAACTCCTATGTCCTAAGATGTAAAATCATTGTTTTTTTTCAATGGAGTCTGGCGGCTTTTACAAGATCAAAGATAACAGCATCAATTCCCAGGTGGAAAGGGCTGCCTGAAAACAAATCTAAATATATAGAGTATGCTTAGACTGATATTGATTTTTTTTAGGCAGACTTTTTTAGGTGCCAAAAATATATTTAGCTTCGGCCTCCATGGACATTTGTTTCTCTAAACTTGTATCCACTGTATATAGTTCACCGACTAAAGCTTAGTGCCTCATTCAACCCCTCTTCAAACAACCCAAACTATCTTTTTCAAAAAGCACCACACTGATGAAGTCATAACAATTGTTCCCTTCCCAAAGTCAGCTTTGGCCAGGATGGTCATAATCTCACCAAAATCACACTAGTGCTAGTTATTCACCTCTACTCTAAGCAAACAAAAGCATTTTACTCTAGGCCTATCAGGTAAAATAGTAAAGCTCTGCCAGAGCTGGTGTTATGGCTGCTGGATTTGGCAGTTGGGAAGTACCTTGATGTATCTGTCATGAGGGACGTATTGCAGGATGATGGGCTCCATGGTTAGGACGTTGGCAAACTGCACCTCAGGGATGTACAGCGCACACACAACGTGGGCCCAGCCTGGTGAGAGATCAGATGAAGGACATATTAATGTTCCTTATGGATTAAGAGAAAATTTGCAGCTTTTATTCTATAGAGTGGTGCAGGAATGAGTCCTAAAATCCTGGAAATGAGTTATCGTTTTTTATACCACTTCCGGTTCCCTTTTTTTTTAAATGTCTGTAGTTAGTTGCCTGAAATAATTAGAGATTTTCATATTTTGTTCTACGACATAAAATGTGTCAGTATTTACCCCACTGGTGAACGTCTGAAGCATCTATGTGTCATAAAAACGGCGGTTGCTAACAGGCGGCTAAATGACACTTCACATCATCACGTAAAACATTAGCCACCTTTAGCTTAGTGCAGCCGTGTGACAGTGATGTAGTTGGAATATGTCTTAAACTTAGCTTTTTTATTTCAGGCACTGGCATTTAAGCTTAACAAATCAATAAAGTGCTGTTAATATTTGGAGAGTATCCTGCTGAACCAAACCTGTTCATACATGTGTTTGCAACAGATCATATTCTCCGCAACATTCCAAAATACAATGGAAAAATCTCCATTGCTTTTTGTCTTCGTGCCCTTGCGATGCTGACTTCCAGGTCGGCCTACAAAAATACATCATCTCTGCGCCACTCTATTTAAGGCGGGAAGGTGGTCCTGCTGTTTTGTCTAAATGCTGTGTAACTTGGGAAAAGAGAGTGAGATTTACCTCCGCTGTCCGTCCTCTTGAGGGCTCCATCTTTGTGTGGACACAGCTCACACCTCTGTGCAGGATAGAGCACAATTTACTGTGAGTGTGGCGTTATAACCACAGGTGAAGAGGATGGGATGGATGTGATTTTGTGTTGGTTGTTCGTTGGCACACTCACCACGCGTGCCGCTCTCTCCTGTGATTCACACTTCCGACAAAACCACGGACCGGTGGGAACCTGGACAATGCCATAACATGCTGGGGCGGACACACACACACACACACACACATACACACCAAAAGAGAACAGGTTAATGATACTATTATTAATACATAGTCCTCAGCTATTTTTTTAAACATACATGATTTTACCAGATATAACATATACTACTGATTTATTTCTTGTTTCACGAGTCTGTGTTTACAATTTTCTACAATTTATACTATAAATGTAAAGTGTCTGAGTACAACTAAAAGCCCTTTTTAAATTAAATGTATTATTAATTATTATTATAACTAAAAATATGTCTCATATTGTCTAGTCCTGTCAGTAAGTGCTGTTGTCATCTTTGTCTGATAAAATATCTACTTACAATTTATTATCAATATTAATACAATTAACAATATAGCATTATTAATATACGGATTATTCCTACTTTTACGTTATCTTCACCATTTTCTACAGATTTTCTTTGGGTACCATGTTGTCATCTTGTTTAGGTAATATAATATATGTAAATTGTAATACATTAACAAAATAAAGACAGCTCACTGCTCAACCTTCTGTGTAAAACTCTTAATAACCTTTATTTACTACATTTGTATGGCACTTTCGCTGACTTTAAGGAACAAAGTCGTCTTTACTTGGGAAGATGAAGCTGCAGATGAGGGCAGAGTGAAGCAGCCTCTAAGAGTTCCTCTGTGCTCAGAGAGGAGATGCTGGAAGTTAACTGCTGCTCTTGTTGTCTCATATGAACAACAAAGCGAGTGGACACAAGGTAACATGATGTCCAAACTGGCGGGCCTTGCCGGCTCTGTTTTGTCGCAACAACAAAAAAAGCCTCTCGCTGTGTGTCGTGAAGGCAACCAGGCCAGACAGCCACGCACACACACGCACGCGCACGGACCTGAAGTGGCATCAAGGCGCCATCCAGGCTCGTGTCACTGCCTGGCCCTGTGTGTTTCATCATGTGTGCCGAGAGGAAACAACAAACAGCACGCCTACCTACCCCTCCCACACTCACAAACACGCACGTAGACAGCGGCGGACCTGAAACACACCGACCTACCAGCACCTCTGGCCGGCTCCAGCCGCCGGGTAATTACACGCTAACAGCGGCTAACGTTACCTTGGTGAACGGCGACGCTGCAGCCGTGTCCATCACAGTAAACCAGGGGGTTCTCAGCCCAGCCTCGCTCGTCTGAACACACGCAGCAACCTCCAACCATTTCCCGCATGCTGCTCCCATACGAAGAAATGTATTTCCCCTCCCGGTAACGGCTCAGACCTCGCCCAGGCCTGTCAAGTGGTCCTCCCGCACTTTATCGCCGTGCCGGGCATAGTCGTGGGCTGCGCACTTTTAGCGCAGCGGAGAGGCGAAATCTCGGCGTGGGGTTAGTGGTGCTGCTGCTACGTTTTTTCCGTGATGTCCTCCCCGTCCCCATAGAACCGATGCAGTGCGCATGCTCAGATCTGCTCCTGTGGTTCGGAATAAGTCACAGCAAAGGTAGCAAGTTATTGTTATTTTTTAACACGAACCTGTTTTTCAATTCATTTTTTAAGACTCTAACGTTATGTTTTCAATTGTAATCTATGTGACAATGTGTCTTAAAGCCACTCATTTGTGAAATGGTTTCATGAATTAGATTAGTAAAACATGTGGATCCATCAGTCAAAACCGCTGGTTGAACTCTTGCTTCTCCATCACTTCTGTTTCAACAGCGCCATCTTCAGGTTTTACACAGGACAACAATTGCAAGCTATTTCACCATCCATGTCTTGACCTCAAATGAAAATGATTCTCTGCGAATGATAATGCTTTAACATTTCGTTATACTTTATAATGATTTATGCTGTTTTTGTGTAAGGATCAAATGGTCTTTAAACAGCTGTCTGCATTTTTCTTTTATTATTTGTCTATCTGTAAATTATGTTTAAAAACAGCCAAAATAATTCAAAACAAATAGATATTCAAGGACGAATAATTACAGATGAAACTTTTATAACATTTGGTGTAACTTTGTGACGTAAATAAACCAAGGAGCCCAACAAGAAGGAAATATTTCTAAAATAAACTCTAATAATCCACCCAAAATATGAATACAGGACCCCTTGTTTATTTTTGAGTTGTCCCCACATTACTGCTAATTGGTTTTCACTTGAAGCTCATTTTGTGTGGCCAGATTTCCTTTGTTTTATTCAGTTATTATTTTCAATCTATAGCAAATGGTTTGTGTGCCATTTTGTAATTACTCAAATAATTAACAATTAATTAATTACAAAACAAATCAAATTGATTTTACAATCACATTGCACTTGTCCAGCTGATTAATATTTTTCAAGGACCTTAACATTATTTGATTCCTTGGTTACTCTCAAAGTCAGTGTAACGGTGTATTGTTGTTTCAGTTAAATACATCAGTGTGGTTACCATGTATATAATTCAGTCAGCAGATGTCACCAGAAGTCTCTCATTTTGACTGGACTTGCGTCATTGTTGCTTTATGACTCCTGCTTCGCCTGGTTGAGTAAATTCTGTCTTGCAGGACGGTTTTATGGTGGGAATCAGTCTGGGTAGAAATATCGCTTTCAATGATTGTCATATTTCCTATATGGTTTCTTTTATGTTCAGAGGTAATGTTTATCCTCCTACAAAAGCTTAAACGTCCGCACTCTTACTCAATTCACTACTATTACTCAGAAGAAAGTAACCCTGAATCTCTTAGAATTGGAAAAAGAGAAGCAGCCCGAATGTTCTTTTGAAACGGATGACTAGGCTGTTTAATCTAGCGTAGGGACATGAAGCTGCGATGACAGTTTGCTTCAGAAGTGTCACTTCTCTTCAAACCCAAAGAGAAAAAAAAGGGAACTGGCACTGATGGAGGGGACAGATAGCGACGGTGGTGGCAGCTGGATGAAGCTAACACCCTGTTCTGCTCTGAGGGCAGCTCAGCGTGACCAAGTCCCTGAAATGTGGGCGAAGAACATCCACACTCTCATGACACACACAGCCCACTGCAGCCACTGAGTGGGGAGGCTCGACCTGTTACTGTGTGACACTAACTTTTCCAACAGACACTCAGTTCAAAAATTCAATTTGACTGTGACTGTAAAATGTGTCGTTACATGTAAATTCCCATGTGTTGAATTTACTGGCATTATACCATGTATTTGAATGTATACTGAATTGAATGATTTTTGAACATTTTCTCTGAGTTTCTTCTAGTTAAAATATAATATATATATCAAGCTATTTATGATTTAGTCTGGGTCCCCCTTCTGCTTTTTTAAGACCCTCCACTGGGTCCGAGAAACCATTTTAGGACCTACTGCTCTGGAGTGATACTGTGTAAGACCATCACTGCCATGCAGTACCAAACTTCCCCCAACAGGTGGCCGCTGGTGTTTCATATGACCCACACATTCATTCCCTCAGCATCAGGGAAAAAGTGTTAAATCCTGTCATGAAATTAGGAGAAAGTCCCACAAAAAGACGAGTCATTCAATATTTTTCTCTTATTTGTTAGTTTTAAGTTCATGCCAATTTAGATACTGCAAAGGCTCATCTTCTTTGTTCCTGATTTCATATATATTTTTATATAAGAAGGACGGTTTCAATATGCATTCAGATGAATTATAAGTTGTTCAACAGCATGTCACATTTATTTTGGACCTGCCTCGACATTCATTTTTTATCACCATCTATCTAAGAAGGACAGAGGTACCTTCTAAGATACATGTATTTGTGCTAAGTCCTATATATGTATACACCTCTATGTCGTGTGACAAAAACATCTCTGCAGAGCTGTGAGGCCTCTAACCTGTGGGAGTGTAAGATATTCAGGAGTGAAAACCAACACATGCAGAGAGTAGTGATGTCTTTGAAGCCGTGAACTGCACTCTAAACCACAGCCTAAAGGAGACATGTGACCTTCGAGATAATAGCACTTTTTTCTCTTCTGCAGTCTTGAATTGACAAGTGTTAAAAAAAAGAACGTCTCTCAGCAAGTCGCAGGTCTCTGTTTGATGAAGGGAAAGAGAGGTTATCTTTTATTGCTTTACACCTTAACACAAATAACAGGAGAAAACAACAGCAGATAAACAATAAATGCATTATTTTTTGCTACTTTGTTAAATGTATATATGGCTACAGCAGGAATCAATAAGTACAAATATGTAAAAATGTATGGTTAGAATTCCTCTTGCGTAAACATTTACAGATCATCTTTTCAGATGAGTACAGTAGGACAAAGGAAATTCTGACACCCGTTACAAACCTATAACGTCTCTCTCAATCTGTCTCACACACACACACACACCGAGAGACAGAGAGATGCTACGTCATGCTTTCATTTATCATACTACCAGCTACTAATATGAGTAAATCTGGGTGTGCTAGTACATGGTTATCTGTCAGAGCGTGTGTGTGTGTAAGCGTGTGAGTGTGAATGACAGCTACTTGAGTTCGAGGCGGTGCTCCCCACGGGCTATGTGGGAGGAGAACTCGTAACGGTCCCGGCTGCGGTGGCCACACACGTTACACTCCAGCGGGTCCCTGAAGCCGTGGCAGCCCATGTGGATGGTGAACATGACGTAGTCCAGGAAGATCACCCTGCAGTGGCCGCAGGGGTACACCGCCCCGGGCAACGCACCCCCCTCCCCGTCCCCTCGCACCACCCGTAAGGCCTCCAGCGGCGACAGGGGGAGGGGCTGTGCGTGTGGGTGAGGGAGGCCGTTCTGATGGCTCAGCCCCCCCAGCAGGTGACCCAGGTTGTACATGACAGGCTGGTGCATCTGGGAGCCGTCGCTTTGGAACGAGTCCATGCCCACCTGGTGCTGGGAGGTGGGGGGGGGAACCATCAGAGGCATGGCCATCTTGTGGCCGTTAGTGAGGCCCATGGGGCTCAGCTGGATGGGGTAGGGTCTGCGGGAGGGAGCCAGGTTGTTCTCTGGCCCTGTGAGGACAGCTTGTTGCTGATGGTGGGGGTCGGGCCCCGGGGAGCCTGGGGGGGGCTCCTTGACCTCGGTCCTGTAGACCAGCTCCCTGTTAAAGCTCAGGTCCAGACACACACCGCTGTCGCCTAGACCGGCAGAACAAAGGGCTCATTGGCACTACAGCACTAGAGAACTTCACTATATATTTGTACTGTTGTCATATATTCACTGTGTCCTGTCCAAATCAGTTTGGAGACAAATACTTTCATATATTTACTGTTGAGCCTTCTTTTTTTATATCTCTTAATTTGTCTATATATAGGCGTGAGAATGAGTAAGTGATATAATGAGTCTTATTTCATGGGACTTAGAGAACTTAAACCTTTTCTCTCCTTCGTCGGGCTTACAAGAAACTTGCACTACGATCCGACAAATTAGATCGATCCTGACTTCGACGCTACTGTCAAACGAAGTCCTTCACAGTGAAGAGAAGTTGGTTTCTCTTTTTTTTTCCCTTGACCCGTGCTACCTGCCCCTGTCTATTCGCGGCCACACCGTCGACCTCACTTCGATTGTGGACAAGACGAGACTCCCGTCGAGTCGCACTGGTTCAGGGACTTTACACGCCGCTTCTTGTAGGTGTCGAGAGTACTGTGTGTGTCGGGTGTACGTCGGTGACTCACCCCTCCGAGCACTGAGACATGAACACACTGTGATGAAAAGGTTGTCTGGTGAGTCAAGCGTTTTTAAAGTTAAACTGACTCCTGACATTTTACACAGCAATGTACATTTAGGTACACAACTTAGAATGACCCGGGGGGGGTAATATGGTTACTAAACCTTACATATGACTTTAACTTACTGAAAACTTAGTAAAAGAGACTCAAAGAAGATCAATTTCGAGTATTTTATATTATATTTCGCATAAATACTAAACAACCAGGGGAAGACGAAAAATTCTGGGAGTGACGCAGGCTCTTGGAAATATCTGGATGACGCGAGGTCAATACCTCACTATACACATTCTGGTAGTCGACGGTACGTCAAATGGTTGAGCGGGGGTTGTCACCGGCGACCACAAAGTATACTGGGTGTGATAGTAAGGAGTCGTAAGTCCTTTTTCAAATTTCGGACAGTCTTTAATCCTCTTTCAGGGTGTGTTTTCTGCTCAGTAAAGTTATAAAAAGAGAATAAAAATCAAAATTCAAGTAGCGTTAAATCTATGACGTTTCCCGGGACTAGAAAGAACAAAGGACTAAAAGTATATATAAAATATATTCTTCCTGCCAAAGTTATACGTAAGCACTACTTAATACTGCAACAAGTTCGTCTACAGTGTAAATAAACCTGGACGGAGCTGTAAGTAAAAAATAGTGGTAGATAAGATTCTTCTGTCTCATGGAACGACTTCCTTGTACATAAACACGATCAGGTATATCCATACATAATGTTGGACGATACAGCACACTGTTTTGTAGAGACGTCTCGACACTCCGGAGATCGGACACCCTCACCATTCTATAGTCCTCATTTTGGTTGTGTACGTCTCTCATCACTACAGTAACTTCGGGCCACTTGACGTGAGATTTTGGTGTCGGATTTCCCTCTGTCACTGGAAGCTCTATTATCGTGAAAAAAGAGAGACGTCAGAACTTAACTGGTCACAATTTTTTTTTGCAGAGACGTCGTTCAGCGTCCAGAGACAAACTACTTCCCCTTCTCCTCAATCGAATAACCCGAAATGTGGCAATTGGTGTTTATGTCCTTCTTTTGTTGTCGTCTATGTTATTTACTTAATACACACGATGAAAACCTTTGTACATATATACGATGTCGTCCTAGTTATTCATGTTATACATTTTTTACATATCAAATCTTAAGGAGAACTGCATTTGTAAATGTCCTAAGTAGAAAGTTACTATGTCATCTGATTCTTTTAAGACTGTGGCAATGTTTGGATAATTGCAGGAGAGATTAACAGAGTTGTGGTGTGTGTGTGGCCTCTGCTCGTCTCTCTACGAATGCAGTACAGAAGTAAATAGTATGATGGTCGATGATTGATACCATTTAGACCCACAGATCATGTACCAATGAAGCACAGTCCTCGCCAACAACTACACAGACATTCGCAGCCTCACACTTCTGTCGATGACTCAAGCTCCGCTCACGAGGGGTGCCGATCACCGCCAGCGCACTCCTCTTTTTTTTTGTTTTTGTTTTTTTAGAGCATTGCAGGGCCGACGCCCACCGGTGGTGTCGCATGTGAGGTCGCCCAGGACTTCGGCCCGAGGGGGTACAGCCTACCCTTCTGACTAGCATCAGGTCCTTCAGTGGGACGTCCACCGGCGTCCATTGTGCGGGCCGTGCGTGGGGGGAGGGGCAAGGGGAGTGGTCGGACATTCCGGAGGTCGCCTGTCCCCCTCCGACACGCACACCACTCCTCCGGCAAAGACTACCGCAGTGCGGATGGGAAGCTGGTAGTCTTACTGAGCCCAAACCTGTGACTAGTCACGACTTAACGTAGATTAAGAAGGCATGCCTCTGGAATGTTCGAATTACTTTTGGTAAGGTACGAATTAAAGTGGAAGCCACGACCAAATGGATCTCAACCTATCCGTTCACCGTAGTCTCGTCACGGATAGAGGACCGCAATCACTCCGTGATATGACAGCTCTGACTCTACGCATGCGACGCTCCTCATCTTGGTCGAACTAAGATGACTCGTGGACACTCCTGTCGACAACGACTACCACGCCCAGACCTTGGCCTCGTTCTCGGACTACCCCTGCCTGCAACGGGTTGCCAGGCCACTGGTCGAGAGAAGGTCTCGATGAACTTCGTAAGACAGGGCCTGGCCTGCTGTTCACATCGTTATAGAGCCGTCGCGGTTTCCGTTGTCGAAGCTGTTCGGAGTCGTGATATGTTCACTGGTGAATATTCGGTACCAATGACTACGACCTGTCAAAAGTGACCTACGTGGAACTTTGCGGTTGTATGTGCTAACTCGTTTATTTGTCAGTATTATTACGCTAGTTGCGACACACGACGATTATAACAAGCGATAGACAATCACAACGAACGTATCGTTGGTGGAACGTAGATACAAAACACACGTCTACCGTGCATCCTGATATAATAAAAACTTGTAGTAATATAATGATTAATATTATGAATATAATATAATATCACGCATCATAAAAGACAAGTATAACGCGTGTGAACTGGCCATAGGCACAAATATATAATTACGTATCGTGCAGATGATGTCCGGCACCAATATACGAGTAATATAGTTGTGCGATTCCCGAACCAAGCCGGGCACTGCGCTGCGCAGCCCGGCTTGGTTCCGGGGCAATCGACACCTAATAATTACTACGTAATATAGGGTGCGGGACAGCACGGATCGCCAACGAAATTAATATCATATATGCTCCTTTTAATCATGTATGACATATGTCTATGGTGTGATCTATATATCAATAATTGGCTAATATATCATACATCCGGCAAACGATAGTATGAACATATATTATGCGAATGTTCATCCATCTATATCATCCGCATGTCAGATGATCCCATATATATATGATGTATATATATGCTTATA